TCAGTTACACGAAATTTTTAAGTAATCGTGAATATTTGATGAATAGTTGTTTAGAATATAGATAGAACATAGCTAAATTCGCATAATAAATTTATTACGCTTTAAATGCATCCTTAAGTCAAATGACGCATGGCCTGAATTAGGATTAGGGTTAGCGTTAGGGCAAAAAATACGGTATAATTTAGGGCATTTATTGTTGATCATTTAATGCAGATCATATGATAGTAGTGTTCCGCGAACCCGAACGAAAACTCGGAACCGACCCGAACCTGACCACGGTTCGTACAGGTTCATAATCTTTCTGATCCTACGGGTCCGGATCTTTATTTGGATTCGACACAGAATAAAATGACACACGTGATTGACCGAATTTGATTCGGTCTGGGTTTTCCGAGATAGTCCAAGATTTTTTCGGTTCCGAGTCTTATTTGAACCTAACCGATTTTTTAGGTTCAGATCGGATTTTTTACAAACCAGACTCAAGCCGGCCTGTTTGATAGTCATCTTAGGTGCGTCAGCTGCAATCCCACGTGAGTGTTAATCTGAGACACAACATATCTGTAAATCCTTTTTACGGACATCCTTGTAAAATCCGTGGATGGCTAAAACTCATGAATATTCAAATGAAAATCCTGTGAATATTTAATGAAAATCAATGAGAATATTCAGTGAAAATCCCGTGAATATTTAATGAAAATTACTCAATTATTTACCAAATTTAACCTATTTATTTTATATTGCTGTATTGATATTGAAATTTGGCAAAAATTAAATAACTCCATTAGTTTCAGATTGACCTCTTTTTTGTGGAGTTAATAGAATTTATTGAGGTTTACAAAATTTTGTAAATTTTGCAGATCCGAATACCGATTTTTAATTCTTTATATTAAACCCTAGATTAAGCTTTAATATTATCAAATTAAACATCTTTGATATTATGTAAGGCTTTATAAAAAACATCATAATTTATTAATTTATTTATCGAACTTTATACGTAGATATGTTTTTTTTTTAAAATGCCTTCTTCTTTTAGTAAAGCTTTTACTAGTGAATTGTATACGTATCTTTATTATGATGATTACAATAGACAAAAAATTACAGTTATTACTTATTGGTAAGTCAATGGGATCAAGAGCTAAGAAAATAAGCAATACAAGTATTAATTGTATATTGGGCCATAGCGAGAAATTAATTAGCTCTTAAAGGGTGAAGCAGCCTAGCCGGTATGCATAATTACATAACATAACGTTAGATTGTTGCAGTATCAATATAATTTATTACAGTAAATAGGCATTTAATGTTACACTAACCATTATCCTAATGGTGTACAGTATATGAATTGCTAGATCAGCATTACAGCTGTTCTATAAATTCCGAGACACTTGAAAAAGACGAAAATTATGTTAGTAACTTAAGTCGGTAGCTTATGTCAGTAACTTATGATAGTAACTTATGATAGTAACGGTAACTTATTGATTTTAATTCAATAACTTACCGATTCGGTTACTGGAAAACCTGTTACGGGTTTTCCGAGTACATCTGACTTTCAATTATATTTATAATGACTTGTGGGTTAGATTTAAGGTTTGGTATGGAGTTTTGGGCTCACAGATCAATTAGCTAGATTTTGCGATAATGCATTCATAGGTGCAAAACATCACAGGTGCATTTTAAGTAAAAGTCAAAAATATATATATATAATTAGAAATTAGTTTTACGTAAAAAAGTTAGTACAAAAAAGGTTATTACGTATCATATAAAACAAAAGAACAAAAAGAGATTTTGATTATATTCAATAGCAAAGCCCTACATACAATTTGATAATTACCTTGTATATACTTATTTCGTACAAATAATATAAAATTAAGTAGACATTAACAGCCAATAACATGAATGTCATCCTATGAGAGTCTAACCTCTTTAGTTTATTGTTTAAAAAAACTGGAAGTATAACAATTTGTAGATCATATGATCGTGCGCAGATTATTTTTTTGTATAACAAAACAAACCAAAATATTAAAATTTTGTTTATGAAACCACTTTTGAGGCACTAAGAAAAAAAAGTTCTAGTTAAATTTTACTATAATTTTCGCCTAACTCTAAACTTATACCCTAATAATAAAAAAATTAATTTTTTGTTTGTAAATTTTGTAAATATTTCGTAGAATTTTAACGAAAATTTTTAATACGGTAAATTTAATAAAAAAAAGCGAAATGATAATTTTCTTACATAGCCATCGTTTAACGACAGGTCTAATACTTTAACAGTATTAAGAATTAACTAGTTAAGTTATTTTTTCAACTGAAAAATGACATATGTCAACCAAAGATCGACATAAATATATGTCGTAACCAAACCAGAAACTATAACATTCTGGACCCATCGAAAATTTTTTTAACTATAACATTAAAGGTAAGTCCAATTGAAAAAATAATTTTCAAAGGTTTTTTAATTTTCACCAATCTAAACTAAATATAGAAATAAGAAAAATCGATATACAAATTAAGAAATCGGACAAAAGATCCGAAAATTAGTCACATCACAAATTTCTATCAAAATTTAATCATTACTAATTTAGAAAGAATTTGTAATTAAGCCCAAAAAGAAATTTCCAAGGAGAAAAACCAACAATTAAACCTTCGGAAGAGTTGGCTCAAAAGAACTTTCTCACGAAAAACCAATTAATAAGTACCTTCGGTATTCAGCATTCAAGAGAGTAAAATCTGAAACAAAACAAATTTAAATAATATCCAAAGACTTTTATTATTGAGAAAACCAATTCTTAATTCATTATTGGCCCAAGAAATCGAAAACTATATAAAAATTGAGAATATAAAATTAATATAAAAATTGAGAATGTAAAAATTGAGAATATATAAAATTGCATAAATTTTAAACACTCGTGTTACACGATGGACAATAGCATTTATAAAATGATTAAATCAATCATGGGTTTGTACAAGAATGATAATAGAGTTTTACGCTAACATTTTTTTTTATAGACTAACGTAAAATGCGAATATACATTAATAAAAAAATATGTTAACTAAATTGCTGATTAATATGCAGGGAAATGTGAATGATAACGCATGCACGTACGTACGTACATACGCATATACGCACTTAGGTAACAGTAACAGTAATAATTAAACACTGTGGAGTGAGAAGACGTAAACAATTATTTTTTATTCACGAAAAGAAATGTCTCCACTAAATATTGTAAATATTGGTTCTACTAAATATTTTAATCTTGGCATCTTTGTTTATGAAGTACGATTAAAAAATACATTACAGCATAGTGAACACAATAAACGTATTAACATTAATTAGCAAGAATTTCATTCAAAATATACTATAAATGTACGTGCTTTAAGAAGAAATGCGTGTGTGCTTTAAAAAGAATATGTATGTATAAAACAAGTTTTAAAATTAGAAAGTTTAATTGATCTATACGTAGTAACGAATAGTATTGAATAGTAAGAAATAGCCTGTGCATAATACAGTAATATAAAAGTAATTCCCAACGAATAGCAATAAAAGCAATAAAATCAATTACAGTAACAGTAAGTTAAATCTAATACTGTAATAAGGTAAACCTATACCTTGTACAATTGTACTCAATATGGTACGGTTACAGATTTATTTGTAACAGATGGTTACTCAAAGTTTTTTGAGAAAAACAAATATGCATATAAAGACCATTAAAAATTTCCTTACTTCCACACGTGTATTACTTTCACAATCAAAAATTTGAAATTCAAAAAACTTGTGTCCAATCAATTGTTTAAATGATTTAAAAAAAAAAATAATAATAAAGCATGTGTTTTACCCCGACGAAAAGGAAATTTTCATATTCGGACGACACCGAATAATGGAATTCCCGAAAAGCATACACAAAGATTTAAGTTTGCATGGTAAAAGATCACAACATTACTTAACAACGATTGATTACCATACAATTACCATAAAGCTATTGCATCATTTTACGCAAATTTACGTTAGTTAATGTTAGTTAATTTTAGTTATGTTAGTTAATGTTAGTTAATGCTAGTTAATGCTAGTTAACGTTATGTTTTTTTCGTATAACTCATTATACATTAAGAGAAAATTGTACACGCATTTATTCTCAGCCCTGAAAACCCTTATACATACTACGTAACTAGAAAGGAGTAATTAAATATTCTTAAGCATTTATTAAAAAGGATTTTCGTGATACACAGTATTGTTTACAAATTTTTAATTTCAAATTAACCATTTTCTATACTTTGGTATTCGTTCTAAAGTGCTATTCTAAGCTATTCGAATCAATTCTAATTTTCGGATAAAAAATGTTCCGCAAACAATATAAAAATGTGACATTTAACTTCGAATTAATTTATTCTAAACCTTTTTCCGGGGTTCCGTGCACACCTAGTTTCCGATGATATTGCTAAATATTTTTCTTTTAACAGGATATTTTATGTAATAAAAAAAAAAAAAAAAAAAACCTTACGCAAATCTTGCGCCAATGGTTAACTTCTTTGTTCTCCGAATTCTTTGTCTATCCTATATATATATAACCTAAATTATTATGTTTATTATAAATTACTATTATAAATTATAAATTACTATGAAAAAAAAACAACTATAATACTGATTATCATATCATGAATTGAGTAACTTTGGTCGCGTGCCAGCGTGCAATACTTGATCAAAATAAATATTTCTTTTTTCTTTTCGTTTTTTTTTTTTTTGCCCACGAACGAAAATCTTAGATTTATTCAAAAATCATAAATCTTTGTAATACGTACATATTTTAATAGTATGACTGTACACATCATCATTGACACATCTGTAATACTTAAAAACATATATTTATGGCACGTTTTCACCATCAAAATTTCTTTTATCACCAAAATTTTCAAGTTTAGACCCAGTTTATAAATTTGTTTACAAAAAAAATTATTAGGAGGGCTCCTAATAGTTCTATATTTAAAAAAACAAATATAAGTTAGTAACCATGACCGAAGAGGTTAAAGAAATTAAAGAACACATTAGTGAAGTTAAAATTGAGAGTGATTATGACAAGAAACGTCGCGAAGCTCTTGCTCAAATTGATAATGCCAAATTTGGGTGGTTTCATATTAGAACTTGCTGCGTAGCGGGTGTGGGCTTCTTTACCGACGCCTATGATATTTTCGCTATCAACCTCGTAGCCGTTATGTTGGGTTATGTATATTATGGAAAAAGTTCTCTTCCGACTGATGTCGATTTAGCAATAAAGGTTGCAACACCTGTAGGCACGTTCATAGGCCAATTCGGGTTTGGTTTATTAGCTGATCTTGTGGGCCGTAAAAAGGTAAAATATTATTCTTTTCTTTTTTTTTAATTCTATAAATTTCTCCTACAAACAATAAAATCCGATTACGAGACCTAAATTTATAGTATTAATAATAGCTTGGGTTACTTTAACCCGGGTAAAATAGAATTTTACGTTTTTTTTATTATTCCTGTTATACAATTTTCCTAATTCATTCCCATTATAAAATTTTTAGATGTATGGCATAGAGTTGATGATCATCATCTTTTCTACATTGGCTCTTTGCCTTATTTCCAATGCATACGTTTACGATCCTACTGCATCAACTGCTACTAATCAAGTATTCAAATCGAACTCCCAAGTCGTTTCAATTCAAGGTCTTATGACTTTCTTGCGTGTTTTGTTGGGTATTGGTATTGGTGGTGACTACCCATTATCTGCAGGTAAGCTTTTCTTTTTTCTTTTCTTGTCATTTCTTCAATATCGCTCATCTTTCATTTCATCTTTCATTTTATCTTTCATTTCATGTGACTTTTAAAAGTCATTGCTAGCGAA